GCGGGGCGGTGCTGCGCGCGGCTCCTCCCCTCGCCCTCCTCCTCCTCCTCCTCCTCCTCCTCCTCACCCTCCTGCTTCTTTTCGCCGTCTTTGGGCTCCAAGGGCTGCTCTCCTTCCCCGGGCCGCCCGCGGCGATGTTCAACCGCGCGGTGAGCCGGCTGAGCAGAAAGAGGCCGCCGTCAGGTAAGCGGCCCCGAGGTCCTCGGCGTGGGTCGGGCGCCCGGAGGGGCTGCGCTGCCGGCCCGGGCACCCTGCCTTGCAGCCCCGGCTCGGGCGCGGCTCTGCAAAGCGCTCCGACGGGAGCCCCGCCGCCCGCGCCTCCTTCTCCCCGCGGCCCCGCGTTCCGCGCGGGCAGAGCGCAGAGCCCGAGGGGCGCTCCCGGAGGAAGTTGGACTGAAAGAGGAACCGCAGCAGTTTTCTTTTTAGTGAGTGTCTGGGAGCAAAAGGAGATCGGAAACACCCCGACTTTGGAAGTAGCGCAGCACCTAGATTTCGAAAGCAGAACGCCGGCGGGGGCCCCTTTTGGGGTTCAATGCTCCGCCGCCGCGTTGGTGGTCAGGATGCCCAAGCGCCCGGAGCAGGCGAGCTGGACCGGGGCATCCGACGGGCAGCCTGGCCCCAGTGGTGGGGACTTGGTTCTGCACGCGGAGCCCAGCTGGGGCCGTGAATGTGGGTGAACCCCAGGAGGGAAAGGGGGCACGTCTGTGGCTCGTACCAGGGAAGAGTCCACGATACAGAGGACTTGGTGTGGCTGGGAAGCCCGGACCAGCCGGAGCCATAATTTTGGGCAACTAGATAGAACCCCTTGTGAAAAATCTTGCCCTTGATTCCAGGTCTCCTTCCGTGCGTAGCAACAGCCAGACCGTTGACTGCTTCGTGTGGGCCAGGGGCTGTGTCCCCCGCGTTCGTGTTCCCTCTTCATCCTAGGACAGCCCCTTGAGATAGGTGTGACGATCGCCACTGCACAGAGGAGGAAACCAGCTGGGGCTGCTGGGGGACTTGCCCCAAATCACACTCACTAGGTGATGGAGAGTGACTCTCCCAGATGTAGGCTTGCGTGAGGCTTGAGCGGATTTACCGCCCACCCCACTCCACCTTCCCAGATCCACTTCTGCCTAGGCCCAGGAGTCTGTTCTTGCCGCCATGCTTCCTTCTTTCACTTAACATCATATTTTTTTTTTGACAAGCACTGTGGTTAAGAGTGTTGACTGGAGTCAGCCTGGGTCTTAATTCCACGCCTACCACTGTGTAACCTCTCTGTGTAGCTTAAGATCTGCAAAATGGGAGGAATACTAGCTACCTCTCTTTAAGCACTTACTTATCTAAATCATTGTTTAGTAATTTATGACAATCCCAATAAAGTACGCACTTCAGAGGGTTCTTTTACAGTGCTTATCTTGTTGCTGTGCGGTGTGGTAAGCACTCAATAAGTGTTGGTCATGAAGTGTTGGTTTGAGTCAAAGGATTCCTTCCTGAGTGTTAGTGGTAGCCACTCGCTATAGTTGGATCTTTACAGGCTTATGTGGCAGTGGTCAGAGTATAGACTTAGTTAAACTGCTGGTTTTAAACTTGACTCTGTTGTTTCCCAGTCCAGCAACCTTGACTTCTCTGTGCCTCAGTTTTAATGGTGGTGGGAGCTTGTTGCTAAACTATAAAACTCATTGGCGTTGAGTTGATGGCAACTCAAGGCAGCCCCCTGTGTTATAGAGTAGAACAGCCCCATAGGGTTTTCTTGGCTGTCATCTTTGTGTGTGTGTGCGTGTAAGTGTGTGTGCTTTAAAGAATAGAGTTTGTCTCACAGTCCAGGAGGCTACAAGTCCAAATGCAGGGTGTGGCTGTAGGGCGAGGTCCTTGGCATTCCTTGGCTGGAATCTTTTATGGAAGCACATCCCCAGGGCTTTCTCCCACGATGCCACTAGGTAGGTTCGAACCTCCAGCCTTTGGGCTAGTGTTGTTGTGTGGCATTGAATTGATTACAACTCACAGCGACCCTTTAAGGCAGAGTAGAACTGCCCCATAAGGTTTCCGAGGCTGTAGTCTTTCTAGGAGCAGATTGCCAGGCCTTTTTGTCTGAGGAGCTGCTGGTGAGTTCGAACCACCGATCTTCGGGTTAGTAGAGTGCGAGCCTCTCACACCACCCAGGGACCTTGCTAAACCTCAGGTGGCTTGAAATTGGCAGTGGAGGGATGTTTACACCATGGAGATCAGCAGATGCTACAAATCTGTGCCCCCGCCCCCCATACACATACTCTGTTAATCAGCTGCATCAGTTTCTCCATTTGGAAACTGGATTTTGTAGTAGTGTGAGGATTAAATAAATACACTGAAGCATGTGAAGCCTGTAGCATGATGTCCGGCACGTATGAATGAAGTGGGTAATAATTGTCAGCCGCTCTCATTTCTCCCTTTTCCTGTTACTAGAGCTGTAACCAATGGCCTTGCACAGGTTGCTCATTGCTTTGGATAATTTTGGGGTTGAAGTATCGTGAAGAGAACAATCTTGGGTGATACAGTTGTGGGGTACTAGTGCGTGTGGCCAGGTTGTACCCCAGAAAGACTGGGGGAAGTTTCAGGGACCTCAGTGAAGTCTATCTCTTTCAGGGCAACAGATTTTAAGCCTGATGAGATGTGGGTGGGTTGTTGGTAGAGAGGTTGGTAGCTGAACGCTGCAGACTGGTGTTGGATGGCTGGACCCCAAGAGCCCCAATTCCTGAGGATTTTGAGGTTTAAAGTCTGCCTGCCAGATGGGAGAGGACAGGTGATTCTCTGCGGCCATCACTGTCAAGCAGTGGGAATGGAGGGGCCCAGTGAGAAAAGGGGGATGGACTAGAGGTGGAGTCAGTGGGGAGCCAGCTGAGTGTGATTCTGGGGGTCCCCCCACTTACACAGGCTCCTTCCCAGGCACTGAAGTTTCTCCCTCTTTTTTTTCCTTCTAATTTTGAGTTATTTTAAAGAAGGCTCTCCACATTGCATAAGCTTCAGGTCCTACAAAACTGGGTGCCTGATTTGGGTGCTGGCTGCGGCCCCACCTCCCAAAGTACCTTCTGCATTAGGTCTTTCTGATTTCAGCAAGGGTAATCAAACAGTGTCCCTAGGTGGGGCTGGGGGGTTAAAAGTGGGGTGGGGAACAGGGGTTTGGAGTTCCTGACCTCTCCTTCCAGAGTTCAAAGTGGAATTCCCTGATTCTCCTTTCCAAGGTTCCTCAAGATGTGAGAATGGGGTGGGTGGGTGGGAGAGGCAGGGGGAGGGCTTAATAAAATGCAGCTTCCTAGGCCTGGCCCCAGGCCCACTGATTTGTTCTTGGAGACCAGAGACAGGGAGGGAGGGTATGCCATATCTTCAGTAAGTGACCCAGTCGAGTCTTAAGGTGATGTGTGAGCACCCCTCACAGGATTCTGTCTACCCTCCTCCCCCAAAGACTGGCATCGTTTATAACTGGGATGCCATCACCTGAGAGGCCAAGCCACAGATATCCCCGCCCCCGCCCCTCAACCAGACCACTATGAGTCAAAACCAACTCAACAGCAACACAACCACCAGACCGAGGGGTGACTCACCAGAGGAATCCCCACACCTGCCAGGCAGGCCATGCCCCTGCACTGGGCCTGTTACACATTATCCCATTAAACCCTTGGGAACATTTTCAGATTTATTGCCATGTTTAAGTTTGTATTTCAGGATGACAGTCCACATAGCAGTTTAATGTCTTTGTTTTAACAACCAGCAGCAGGCAGCCTTGGTAGTTGGGGAATGTGCCCCCGAGGAACATCAGTGGTCTTGGCCTGCCGGCTCCGGCAGGGTTACATAGGTGTGGTCGCCTGCCAGCCAGCCGGGCCTGGCACCAGCTCCCAGCCGCCAAGAGCGCCTTGTCGACAGTGCTGGGGTGAGGTGTGTTTAGTGGGCGTCTCTGTCCCTCGCTGTTGGACGTTTGGGGAGCTAGGCAGGTGCCTGGCTGGCCCTGTCCTAGGGCCTCCTGGTGACCTGAGTCCCTGTCCTTCCTGGACTGAGTAAGCCTGCTCCCTCCGGCGCTGGGCTCTGGGAGCTTGCTGTTTCAATTGTGCTAAATTTACTCTCACCATGTCTTCTGCTTCCCCCAGATAGCTCTTGATTCTAGCCAGCAGGGGTGGTGGTGGGGCCAGGGGAACCCCTCGATAAGAGCTGTCAGGCGGTGCCTATGGGTGTGAGGCAATCCTCTGCAGACTTCAGGGGGCACATTTTCCTGGAAAGCCAGTTCCTAGCTCTTGAGGGCCTTGCCAAGTTTATACCCTCTTCTGGGCGCACAAACCAAACCCACTGCTGTTGGGGGGATTCTGATTCAAAGTGACCCTGTAGGACAGAGTAGAACGGCCCCATAGGGTTTCCAAGGCTGTAATCTTTGCAGCAGACTGGCATGGCACATCTTTCTCCTGCGAGTAGCTGGTGGGTTTGACCTGCCAGCCTTTCTGTTAGGAGCTGAGCCCTTAACCACTGCACCACAGGGTTCCTGCTGGATGCCTAGGGAGCCAGTCTGGCCTGCCTTCCTTCTCACCTGGTTTCTCTCACTCCCTGTGCCTTTGCCTCCTAAGGACACCCTCCCCTCCTGTTGCTAAACCTGCGTCTCATTGGCTCCAGCATAACCTCCCCTTCCAGGCCAACCTGCCCCCTCCTGTCTGCCCCGGACAGCACTGGAGTTTCCCCAGAGCCCTGCAGAGGGCGGGCACTTGTCTGGGGCCATCATCTCACAAGTGGCAGATCAGAAACCTCGAACCTCAGACCCAAGTCCAAGGCTGCGTGCGTGACCTCACACCGCACCCATTTGACCATTTGGTGAAAATATTTTTGGAGAACTAATGTGGAATTAAGAGGTCAGATATTGGTGGTTCAGTGGCAGAATTCTTTTTTATTTTTATTGTGATTTGGATGAGAGTTTACAGAGCAAATTCATTTTCCATACAGCAGTTCATATACACGTTGTTTCATGACATTGACTGTAATTCCCCACAGTGCAACACCTCTCTTCCCACTTCCTCCCTGGAGTTACCTCTTCCCTGTGTCTTTCTTTCCTATGCACTCCTGCCCTCTGAGCTACCTCCCTGTGCAAACACTGCCCTCTGTTCTCCCAGGATTGATCTCTCTAAGGAATATATCTACCTGATGTAAATGTTCACCCCATGCGCCTGTTCCAGACCTGAAGAGCAACTAGG